GGGGGGGGGGGGGGGGCAGAGACCACTCCGCATCAGCTGCCCCTCCCTCCAGCTCACCTGGCTGGGAGCAGGGCCAGCCAAGCGTGTGGCTGCCTCTGGGCCCATCCTGTCGACGGCCTGACATGTTTAGGCTCCTCTGTGCTTTAGTTACCAAGGCCAGGCTGGTAAGCAGAAAGCCCAGTGGCCCGGGCCCCTTCTGTGCCCCTCCCTGTCCCCTCTGCTTCAGTTCTGGATGACATCCTGTCACAGTGTTGTATGTCAGGGAAGAGGGGTCATGGTTCTATACTTCCAGAAGTTGCCTGGGAACTGAATTCTAAGAAACAACGACAAGGGTCAGAAAGTGCATTTGTAGAGTCCTCTCTGTGCAAGGGGGCCAATGGGAAGTGTAACACATTTGTGTACTAGACGCTGTGGTCTGGGCCTGACACTCCAGGCCCTTTGATTCTGCCCTTCCTAGATAAACCGGGTGGGGGCATATGCTATTGTGGCTAAATCTTCAAAATAATTACAATTTTGTAGAGAAAACAGAAAATACTGGTTTTGCAAGTTTGGGTTGGCTCTGATCACGAGGTTGAAGATGTGACAATTTTTTCCCCTGGGATCCCAAACTCCATTAGGGCAACAGTTAACGACATCCTTCCGAATATGTTCCGGTTTCCCTGCCACCTGGTCACACTTTCCGTGGCATCTCTGTTAGCACAGAGCCAGGGTTTGGAACCGGGGTGCTGAGAGGCCGAGGGTGGGCAGAGGAGGCCTGGAGGCAAAGGTCTGTGACCCTGACAGAAGAGGGTAAGGAACAGATACATATTTGTGAGGGCTTTCTACCTTTCGGGTTATCTCTTTGCTCACGTTCAGATTTGGAGACTATTGGGGTGGTAATAACCCGTTTTCATAAAATGGGCCCGACTCTGCTATTTCTTTATCCCGTTTAGCTCATTGTGCCTGCACAAATAACTTGTTTTGTTTCCACTGAGTTGGCTCTCTGTTGCTGAGGCAAAAACAGAAGAACTGTACCTCCAAAATCTCTCTTCACTCAACAGTCAATTCAACAGGCATTCAAGAGAGTTACCAAACATATGCGCTTCCTGTCTGACTGTATTCACACAATCCAGTTTAGCCTCTTGGTCCCTACCTCTCTGTAGGGTCAGCCATAACAGAGAAAAAGTGCATTTGGTGCCCAACCTTGTCACCTCCGTGGGTACAACCAGGAGACTGCTCTCACACCCGGGAAGTGGGGAAGGCCAGTAGGGGTTGCTAACTCAAAGTATTTATTTGTAAATTGAGTACCCAGTTTTGCACTAAAAATGGTCTTAGAGCACACCAATAATCACTAATAGTAAAGAATCAAAAGTCAATTTGGTAAGCTCAGGCATTGGATTTCTGTATCATTATTATCGTAAAGGATTACTATATTATAAACAATAATAGCAGCTACCACTTGCTGAGTACGTACAATGTGCCAAGCACTGTGGTAAGCGTGTTTCATGTATTATCTAAAACATCCTCACAAGATGTCATGAGACCAGGTCTATGATCTCCGTTTTGCAAATGAGGTGACTGAGTTGTGAACAAACTACTTTGCCTGGTGTATGCAGTGAGTGCCAGCCAGGCTGAGATGTGGCTTTGTTGGCCCTGAGCCCATGTCCTGAACTGCTCACCACGTCTTCACTCCCTTTCCCCACTCCTCAGTGGGGGTAGATGGCATCCTCCTTGGACTGATAAACATCCCCACCCTGGGGTAAAGGGTCCTGGCTAACTTTACCTCTCGGCTTAGGCCTTCCCTGGGAGTTGGGTGGAAAAGGGGAAATGATAAAGTGTTTGAACCTAAAAATTTTAAAAAAGCAAAAAGGGACAACATAAGAGTGAACAGAAAGGGAAATAATTCTAGGGGAGAAGTCAGAAATAAACTACTTGGGTGGTGATGATACCGAGAGACTCTGTTTCACTCTTCCTCTGTTATTTTGCAAGACAACCAGTCAAAATGTAATGGAAAAGTATTACAGTTCCTTACTGAGTATAACTAATTTAACAGGAACATTGTCCATTTTTTACATAGAAACCAAGCTGAGTCTTTCAAAACATACATCTCTTCTAAAAGCCCACCACAGGGGCGCCTGGGTGGCGCAGTCGGTTAAGCGTCCGACTTCAGCCAGGTCACCATCTCGCGGTCCGTGAGTTTGAGCCCCGCATCAGGCTCTGGGCTGATGGCTCAGAGCCTGGAGCCTGTTTCCGATTCTGTGTCTCCCTCTCTCTCTCTGCCCCTCCCCTGTTCATGCTCTGTCTCTCTCTGTCCCAAAAATAAATAAATAAACGTTGAAAAAAAAATTAAAAAAAAAAAAAAATAAAATAAAAGCCCACCACAGATAAAGTCAGATTCGAAGCCCAGCCGTGACCAGCAAGGCTTGGCACAGTCTGGCTCTGGCTAACCTTCTGACATCTTCAAACATCGCATCCCAACGTCTAGGCTTGTGCCATTCTTGCTGGCTTCCTGCTTTCCTCCAGCAGCTCAGCCTCAGGAGCTTTGCACTTGCAATATCCTCTGCCTGAACAGTTCCTCCCCCCGCCCCTGCAGATATTCATGTGGCCTCTCTCACTTCACTTATGTCTCTGCTATAATACAACACGCCAGCAAGGCCCACTGTGACCTCCTCATCTAAAGTATCACCAAGCTCCCTACACACACACACACACACACATACACACACATACACTCACACTTATCCACACTTTCACATACTATCTCACATACGTTTACACATTCACACATTTTTGCACATCCACATACCCACTTTCACACATTCTCACATGCACATACTATTCACCCTCTTGCACACACACTTGTACACACTCACGCATATTCACACTTGCACCTACACTTTCACGCACTCACACATATGCTCACTCACTTTCACACACTCGCCCTCAGACACTCTCATGCACATGCATGTACTCACATACAGTGTGGACACTTTTTATCCTCTTTCTGGCTTTTACTTTTCTTAATAACCCATATTACCAGCTGACATTTATTTTTAAATTTTTTATTGTCTGTCTTCCCCAATTGGAAATGAAGCCCATGAGTCTAGGGCCTTTATCTTCTTTTTGTAATCAATGCCATATCTCCAGTGCCTAAATAGTACTAAACACGTAGAAAGGGCTTAATTAATAATTTTTGACTAAATGAATGCATTTAAGTCATCAAAATAAATTATTTCCATCTCCACCACTGCATGCAGTTCAGTATACTTTCATCAGACAATCCATGGAGGAAAAAGTCAGAAAGGCACGAAGGCTGCACCTTCTAATATAGAACAGCTGAGTGGATCCTGGGCTCTTGAAGCCACGACGAACCCCATCTGTCCAGTGGCACGAAAAAGTCTCTAGTTCAGGTGAACGGCACTTGGTGAACTTAGGCTTCCCAGAAGAATCTGCAGATAAGCAGAAAAGGCAAAGCATGAAATCAGGAGGGTAATGTATGGTCCTAATAAAACACCTATTTAAAGTGGTAAAGAAGAACCACTTTTTCTAGACACAGTCTTTTCCTGGGTCACAGTTTCAGAGCTTGTTGCCTGCCAGTTATTTCTCTGTCAGCTCTTGATTCCAGGAGCAAACTGTTTTGTCTTCATTACAAACATTATTTTTTAGGGCCTATTTAAGAAGCCAGAGCTAGAGAGAAGGTTTATTTGGAAGGTGACCCCAGGGACAGGAAGTAAGGGCAAGGAGGAGTGGGAAGGGGAGAGTTACCATAGTGGCCAGCTAGGGCCCAACTCCACAGCGGACCCTCTGAATAGCTATAGAGTGTGTCCTAGAGAAGGATGGGAGGCTGGGCTGTTTATCCACCAACTCCCACCACCCATTGCTTGAAGGCTACCCTGGGGGTGTTCATGCACCTGCACATGGGCTGAAGGTCCTGCCTGACTTGGGAGAGGCCTGGGCAGGCACCTGAAATGTCCCGGCAAGGTTCATGATGGCGACTGTCCACCACAGATGCATGCACTGACATCAGGTGGGACAAAGGATGTGGCGTGGGATCACAGCTTCCACTATAGGGCCCTTCCTCCCTTTATGGATTGTTTGATAAAAAGCCACTTAGGTTTGCATTCTTTTAAAGATTCAGCCATTACATGCATTAAATAGATGATGACTAAAAAATTCATGCATACGTATGTGTCAACTCTAGTTTGGGAAGTGATGACTGCCTCTAAGTGTTAGGATATTAGCTCAAACTCCTCTGCATCTATGAAATCTGCAGCAGACAAGTCTGAGGCAAAACCGATTTTTCTATATCAATTCTCATTGTTCTCTGACTTCCATGGCCTTTTTTGGAGATAGCCAAGTTTCTTTTTTCTTTTTTTCCTCTCCTTATCTGATTCTACTTCAATTATACTGTAAACTTAATACATTTGTTCTCTGATCTAAAGCTCTCATCCCTGAGCAACAGGGAGGCTCTCAATTTTAAAGTACCATTATAAATACTTTAAAATATACTTTAAAAATAAATAGCGTGCAACCAAACACATACAAATTCCTGATTCCAAGTTCCAGGTTCACATCTGATGTTCTGAACCAAAACATGCTTCCTTTTTTTCCTTTGTCAACCTCGTAATGAATGGGATGTTATAAACCTTCTAAATAAATCCATCATTCAACCATCCACTCGACAAACACTTACTAAACATCTACTTAGTGCCAGGTTCTCTTCCAAGAGTAGAGCAGGAAACAAAACTGCTAACATTCTGGTCCTTATGGAATTTCCCTTCCGGTGGGGGCTGGGGGGAGGGGGAGTCCCATGTAGAATAATGAGCAGAGTAAGGACATAATGGGCTGGGAAACAGAGGCCCCATCCTCCTTCCACTAACACCCATATTAATGCAGCAAAGAAGCTCAGGCTGGGGAAATGTGTCCTTGTTTCTGAACACCTGCTGCCCCAAATAGTCTGGCCACAAGAAAATGAATCTTCAGGAAATCCTGAGTTGCAGATAGGTCCTGCAACCTATCTGCAGATAGGGGTGGCAGAATGTCTTAATTAATAAAATTCCATGGTCATATTGTTGTAAGAAATATTCCTTTTCCTGTATTAGCTAAGGGATTCACAGAGTTTTGGGGAATGGATAGGATCTGCTCGGTACCAAGGGCAGATGGTCAGCCCTCTCTAGGTGGTCAGCATTTAAGAACCCCCTGAGAGCACTGAAGTGTAGGAGCCTGTGTGAGCTGATACAAGTGAATATAGTGAACAGGGTGTGTGTTTTGTTAGGTAAGCACCTATTATACGGTAGAGTATCTGGAAAAGTTCCTTTTTTTATCAGCTGAAGCACTGAAAAGGGTATTTTCAGATCCTTCCAGAAAATAAGTAATTCATAAAACATATTTAAGCCACCACTACTTTTAATTCCTGCAGGTGTGAGGAGAGTCTTGCATATTTTGACTACTCCTCTGCATACAAGGCAAGAAGAGGAAATGTGCCGGGTTGCAAAGTGAGAGATCCGTGTTCTAGTCCTGGCTCTGATACTATTTAGCCTTGTTCTTCCCAAGCTGTTTGGGCCTCAGGCTCCTCAATAGAGAGGCTGGAAGAGATGAGATCCAAGGTACTTTACAACTTCATTTTTACAATGAAATGACATATACCACCACTAATAACAACGTACACAACCAAAACGTAATTTTGGCATTTGAAACAACCAGAGAGCACCAAAAGGAAACACTACTCAGTTTCTTCTATTCTCTGTGCCACAAGCCTGCCACATCATGGCAAGAATAGTAAACCCAACTCAAAAACTTGAAACAGAAAGGAAAAAAAAAACCCAAAACTTTGTTAGCTGGGGAGAAAAAAACCTAAAAAATTTAATTTAAAACACATTTTTCTTACTTAAACATAGTACTCTTGTTTATTCTGTTTCCTTTTAACTCCAGATGTATAGAAAGCCCTGTATTATCTTCTCATTATACGTAAGAAATAGGAGATTTCTGGTTGTGGTGCTAATGTGATGAAGTGTGTCCCTACACAGGCATTCAGATACAGACCTAGTGCAACAAAGCTATTTTTAACTTGTCTTTTTGGTGTGTATTTTCACGGTCCACCCTCCTTTCCCTACCTTCCTCCTTTCTTTTCCTCTTTCCTTCTTTCTCTTTCTTTCTTTCTTTTCCTTCCTTCCTTCCTTCCTTCCTTCCTTCCTTCCTTCCTTCCTTCCTTCCTTCTTCCCTCCCTCCCTCCCTCCCTTCCTTCCTTCCACATGGGTATGTCCTGCTAAGTGCTGTAGACAGGACTAATTCTCAATGGCCCCAATGATCCCTGCTTCCTATCATTTATAAGCTTATGTATTTAATCTCCTTGAATAACTTGCTAATCTAATCTACAGAATGTGGCAGCATCGAGGGGATGTTGTATCTATGATTAGACTATGAAAACTGTGGCTTCCACCTCAGCAGACTTTCATTCTTCTTGGTTTTGATGAAGAAAGCTGCTGTGTTGGTGAGAACCACATGAAAAGGGACTGAAGTGGCCAATAACTAGCAAGAAAATGAGGCCCTTAGTCTAACAACCCTTGAAGAACTGAATCCTGCCAGCAACCACACAAGAAGGATGGAAGCTGATCCTTCCCCAGTCTGGCCTCAGATGAGACCAAGTCCCAGCTGGCACTTTGCAGCCTTCTGAGAGTCTGAGTAGCGGAAGTCCCAACTGATGGGCTAATTTGGAGGAAGGGTAGGGAATAATATTAGCTGAATTCTATTTATACTGAATAAATGAATCCAATATATTAGAACTTGAAAGTGGTGTTCAACAATGGCATAAGCCACTTTTCTTAGCAAATGGAATGCCTCACGGTGCGTGTGGGGAAGTATGTAACTTCTCTGTTGGAGGCAAGAAGAACTGTAGTGTAGCTGGCTGCTTAGCTTCTTCTCTGTTGCTTCCTGCTTCAGCTATTACTACTGTGGCTGAAGATAGCTGGCATTTCTAATGTTCAGCTCCTTAGTGTCATGCTGAGGTTTTTCCAAGTCTAAGAGGTACTGGCCTAAACTTAAAATGAGCACCTCTCTGATTATCTCTGAAAATCCTAGTAGAAGCTTGCTTTTTTTTTTAAGTTTATTTATTTATATTGAGACAGACAGAGAGCGAGAGAGAGAGAGAGAGAGAGAGCAAGAAAGTGCACATGCATGCATGCAGGGCAGGGGCAAAGAGAGAGAGGGAGAGAGAGAGAATCCCAAACAGGCTCTGCACTGTCAGCACGGAGCTGGAGTGAGTCTCAAACTCATGAACAGTGAGATCATGACCCGAGCGGAAATCAAGAATCGGATGCAACTGACTGAGCCACCCAGGCCCCCCAGAAGCTTGTTTTACATTTCATTATAAAGACAACAAATGGCTATTATACATTCTCAGGTCCTCTCTGATGAGCCACAAACAATAATTTTGAACTAGTATAATTCCTGCTCTTTCATGTTTTTTTTTTAGCCTAAATCTAGAGACAATGTAGTTCAATATCCATTTATAGTATCTCTGTAAAGAATGTTGCACTTCACAAGAGAACCTACCTTTGGCCCTTACTAGAAGAATTGAGTATTCTAACTCGAGTGGTCCCACATTTTGAAGAAATGTTAGTATTAACACTGATCAGCACTCAAAATCTTGAGAACAGATTTGGTATTTATTTTTATTTTCTCTTTGGAGCCTTTATTTTGAAAATGTGGATTTTGACTTGCAACTCTATATTTATTTTAGTTATAATTACCATGTTACATACATCACCTTCCATCTTATATCATGTTGAATATTTTACATATATTGTCTCCTTTAATACTAACAATGATTACAGAAGGTGGGCATTATATCCACTTAGAGATGGGTGAAAAACTGGAGTTTAGAGAAGTGAGTTGCCCATGTTTATACTGCTGTAGGAAGCAGAGGTGAGACTGAAATACAGGTGGTGTGTGATTTTAGGTCTAAAGTCAGAACTAGCAAAAAAACAGTAGCTTTTTTGTTAGACAATTTTCTCTGGCTTCTCAAAAAATTCCCAGAAGGGAAAAATGACAAGCTCAGATGTGCTCTTGATTCAATTCTCAGAAATCAGTAACCTGGCAAGCCCTAAGAGCAGCATTTCCTAATTGTAATTGCACAGTGGAATCAACAGGGGAGCTTTAAAAAATACTGATGCCTTGGCCTACTCCCAGAGACTTGAGTCAATTTGTCTGGGGTGCAGCCAGGTTATCACTATTTAAAAATTTTTTTTCAATGTTTATTAATTTTTGAGAGACAGACGGAGACAGAGAGAGAGGGAGGGAGACAGAGAATCCGAAACAGGCTCCAGGTTCTGAGCTGTCAGCACAGAGCCCAACACAGGGCTTGAACCCACGAACACTGAGATCATGATCTGAGCCGAAGTCAGACGCTTAACTGACTGAGCTACCCAGGCACTCCGGGTTATCACAATTT